TAGATACCAAGTTTAGAGCTGATGCCATTAGGAAGGTCATTGATGAAAATTAAGAACAAAGTAAGAGAAAGGGTAGAGCCCGGGGGGGGGCACCTGCATTACTGCAGAAAGATCTAGAAGAGTGACCATTCAGAACAACTTTTATTTTTGATTTCATATGAAAAACTGGATCAATTCAAAAATGTGTCTGTAGATGCCATAACCTTTCAAAATGTGAAGAAGACTGGTATGCCAAAACCTGTTGAATGCTTTCAAGATGTCCAAAGTAACAGCCTGAGCTTTACCATTCTTATCTTGATAGACTCTTTCACCAATAATATTAGGTTGGTGCAAAAATAATGACGTAATAATGTAGTTTTTTGGCGTATTTTTAACGTCAAAAAACGACATTATTACGTCATTATTTTTGCACCAACCTAATAGTTACTACATCAGCAGTTGACCTAGAGAAACAAAAGCCATGTTGCTTGCTTTAAAAAAAAAAAAAAAAGGCCCTGCAATGAGAGATGCTTAACTAATTCAGCATTGATTAGGGCCTCAAGAATTTTCCCAAAAAGAGGGAGAAGGCTGATAGTTGGACGGGTCGGACATTTCAGCTGAGTTCCTAAAGCCTGGAACAGCAGATGATTTCCAACAAGCGGCAAAGCAAGAAGCAGCGAGTCATTTTTTTATACACTCTTTTGAAAGTCAGTATCAGCCATACTAATGACAGGCAGAAAGGGGTCTATCAAATAATTAATGGAGAGCTGTTTTGTTTTGAAGGCATTAAAATTAAGGTATTTTTGAGATCAGCTGCCAATTTGACCTTATTGAACTGATCAGACTTATTATCGAGACAGGAATAAATGGTTGTGTCGTCAGCATAGATACCAAGTTGAGAGCTGCTGACATCAAGAAGGTCATTGATGAAAATTAATAACAAAGTAAGGAGGACATCTGGGGAGGAGGACATCTGCATTACTGCAGAACAGTGGTTTTCAACCAGGGTTCCGTGGAACCCTAGCGTTCCGCCAGTGAAGCCCAGGGGTTCCGCAAGAAGTTACACAAGTACTACGATTGACAGTAATTTTTAATTCTCCTGTGCAGATGTATGTGTTTGGACACTTTGTCAATAAATCTTGATAAATATTTTCCATCGATATCTGTCGACCAGTATGACTGGCTTAGAAGCCCATTTGTGGAATTTGAGCCATCTGAAGAACAGTTTATATTAACAGAAGAAAAAGAACTTGCCAGTGTTTCATTTGACAGAAAATTAAAATTGAAGCATTCTGAGCTTTGCCTGGATACATTCTGGTTGCTGTTTAAAAACGGAATATCCTGCAATTACCCAGAAAGCACTGCGCCTTCTCATGCAGTTTTCAACATCCTCCTTGTGTGAATTTGGATTTTCAGCTCTGACAACCATCAAGCACAAGAAGCGATCACAATTGCTGTCTGTGGAAGATGAACTTCGTGTGTGTCTGTCAAAAACACGACCCAATATTAAAGATTTGTACAAGAAACATCAGGCTCAAGTTTCTCATTGAATTTTTAATGAAAATAAATGTAATCCATTTAAACTGAAGTTTTTTAATACATGTGTAATAACCGTAGAAGCAAGATTAAAATTGCATATGGACGTATACAATATTTTTACAGTTTGTATATTTTTGTAAAAAAATCTGAAGATGAGTATTTTTATTTTATTTTAATAATTGAAAGCTTTTTTTTGCATAAGACAATTAATTTATTGCAGGGGTTCCTTGAGCCACTGGAATGTTTCCTTGTGGTTCCGCTCCAGCAAAAAGGTTGAAAACCACTGCTGCAGAATGATCTCGAAGAGTGACCATAAAATCTAGGTACCTTAGCAAAGAGATCATCTGAGCAATTACCATGAAAGTATTTATAGAAAAGACACATGGAAGCAACATTATGGTAGTAGGAAAATGACTGAAGCACAGATGCCAGGTTAGAACCAATAATATTGCTGATTTTTCTTTGGATTTTATCTAGAATCTATAAATATATAACAGGAGCAACAAACCATATATGGTAGTAATATTCTAAGCATGGATGAATGGTAAATATACAAGATAGATTCTGCAGAGAAAAATTGTCTAGCATGACACTTTGAATTTTCTTCACGGCTGACCTAGCAATGGATTCAATATAGTTTTTCCACTTCATGTCAGCTGAGAATGTTAGCCCTAGAAGGCACAATGTGTCATTTTTCTGAAGGTTAGCATCAGCCATACTGATGGAAGGTAGAGAGGGGTGAGACTCTCAGATGACTAATAAAGATCAGTTTTATTATAAGCAGTCACTCTTTGCCCCGATTAACAACAGACTGTAGGTCACTTCTGACATCAGCTACCAATTTGACTTTATAGAACTGATCAGAGTTAGTATCCAGACAGGAGTAAAACATAGATACTAAATTGAAAACTGATCTGTTGCGTTCACTCTCGCACCTTTACCGTAGAGAAAGAAAGAATGGATTCTTCTATTCATCCTCCAGATATGGGTTAAATAGTAGAAAGAAACTCTGAATTCAAAACCGGTTGGATGTGCGAACGTAAATATTTACTTGTTACGGAAAACACGGAAGAGTCACTTACTGCAGTGAAGCTATGGTTCTATTCACCAGAGGGAAGTTGGCAATAAAGAGGAAGCGAAAGAGGAACACTACACAATTAAAATTATTGGTAGCACGACCATCTTTGTGCCTTCGTGTCAAACTAAGTTAATCTGATCATCTGGATTAACTTAATTAATCTAATTAATTTAATAAGGTTAACTTTACGCGGGCTAGACTGTTAGTAAAATATCAATTCTTTATCCAGTTAAGTATTCAAATTACATAGATTTCAGTCTATTTCCCTGGAGATTTGATTTGCAGCCACCTTGTTCATGCCTTTCAGACAAGTTCAAATACATACTGCCTTCGGCTGACTGCCTTCAACGCGATCTCTAAGTTATTTAAAGTATTACTTTTAGTATTCATGTAGTAAAAATAATGGTTAAATAGCAGCGCTGCTCACATGGGCTCAAGCTTGAATGGCAACCAGCCCAAGAGAAGGAAAACTCTAAAATTCATAACTGTAAATGGAGACAGTTGAGAAAAAGATGAAGAAGACTTGTGACCGTCTTGGGCGTGACGGTAAACTAAATCTGATCGGGAGGTTTTGAGGAACGGGGAACCACATCTTAATTGCTGTTGTTTCCGGGTCTACCCTGACCTGGATCTACCCTGACCCGGGTGGTAACATCTGTTAGAGTCCTTGCTAGAGGCAAATAGTTAACCCCAAAATTGGGGTCAAAAAACTATAAAAGTATAAAAATAAACTTTTATAGTAAAAATACCAGTAATACATTTTTGGAAAAAAAAATATTACAAGCATTACATTTGGCTCTCGACAAAAAAAAACCAAACACTCTTTACAAAAATACAATAAAACCTGATCTACAGATTCCTTGCAAAGAATACATATTGTATTCCTACGAACCAATCTTAAATATCTTGTTGGCATCAAACAACCCATTGAGGTTGACAGCTTAGATGTGGCACAAGGCCGAAAGTAGGGCCCCCAGTGAGGATCGAACTTACTAATCAGTAGTAATTGTTCTAGCGAGACAAGCTTGCTAACCATTACACCACTTCAAGGTGTGCACCCATTGAGGTTGATATGCCGTAAAACAAAATAAACCAAAACAAACTAAGACTTGAGAGTATTAACTGGCATGAGTTATCTCCTCTAACAATCGAAAGAGGATTAAGAAATATTTTCGTTAATTTAATAAAGTGTTGATTCAGAATTACATGAAGGTTAGCGGGACAACGAGTGACGCTTGAAGAATGGCGACTCCGAAGGCCTAAACGCAGTGATTATCAATTGCCTTGCAAGAAGGTAAATACTTCATATGATAATGGCACCTTTAAAAAATTCCGACAAGGATTAAGCCAAATCCTGTCTACAATATTTAGCCCGCACTATTATCCAAATCTTTTTTTTTTTTTTGATCACACTGATTTAGACACTCAGTGAGAATCAAACTCTCCTCAACTCTAATGGAGTAGGTGTATACCTTGGTTATTTGTGTTATGCAAAACGAACGTCTCCATCTGTGTATATTTCTGAGATGAGGTACATTATTTACACTATTTACACTCTTCTCCTCATCTTTATTGTCATATTCACTACGTTTCGGCCGTTGTACGCTCCGGTCTTCTTCAGGTGATATATGTTGGAATTTCAAACTGAACCCTTTATTTAGTTCACAGGAGTAGATTTTTCTAGTTCCACATGCCATGCCTTTTCTGAATATCTCAGTTTCAGTTAATTCCTTTTAGTAACTCAACTATACAAGTTTTGGGGTTGTCTTTTTTTTCCTCTTCTGCTTTGGCCAGGTATTGAACTTACAACTTTTTGGATCAATTCACTTTTTTGGATTACTTCAACCAACGCTTTTATCCAATGAGCCATGTGTCCCCAAGGACACGTAGATAAAAGAAAAAAGAACGTTTTCATGTTTACAATGTTTTATATCGGTAATAGTCAGTGTATTTGCCGCCATATTGGCAGTATTGCACTTATCTTTTTCGCTTGATCACTCTCTTTTAGACGATAGGTTCTTGACCTAACCAGCGAGTATACTTTGAGTAGCATCCCTGAAATCGTCATGTACAACGGGGGCAGGGATCGAATAGGATTTATACAACTCCCCACGACAGTGTATTTGATTCGAGGTCACCTCTTAATATACTGGGGTTGTTCAAACTGGTTTATCTCCCAGACACAGTAACTAACGGCCGCTCAATATAGTTGCAGTATAAAGTACCGTTGAGCTCTGTGGGTTTGAAAAAAAATACTAATATGCAGGAGCAAGCGTCCGAAACAGGGATTGGTTAGCGGAAACGAGGACTCGGCCATTATATATCTATGTATCTATGTATATTTAGAGAAATTGGATGTACCGGGTGTAATGGTTAGTGGCTAGATAGCTAAAAAAGAACAGGCTTACGTAGATAGATAGATAGATAGATAGATAGATAGATAGATAGATAGATAGATAGATATAGAGTGATAGAAACAAAATGACATCGATAGATAAAAATTAATTGTTATAGTAGATAGATAGATAGATAGATAGATAGATAGATAGATAATGAACAGACTGAAATAGATAGATAGATAGATAGATAGATAGATAGATAGATAGATAGATAGATAGATAAAAACAAACTGACATAGATAAAACAAATTTAGATAGGTATATATATAGAGATAAAACAAATTGACAATGATAAATAAAACTGAATTTTTATAATCGATAGATAAATAGACAGATAGATAGATAAATAAAACAAATTGACATAGAGAGAGATATATACTTTTTTGCCAATCCCAACATACTTACTTCACTTGTATCTTGCTTTTAAATGTTAAACTCCTACTTACGTATCTACAGACACACATATATATTCATACATACACTTACATACATACATACATACATACGTACGTACGTACGTACGCACGTGCATACGTACATATATATAACAAAGGTAGGGAAGAGTTACAATGCAGTAATATACAATTTTATTTATATTTTGAAATACTTTTGTGACATCTACAAACTAAACAGGATTTCTAATGCTTATTTTTTTATCGTACGTCGAGCCACTCGACGTAACACAATCTTTCAACCCACGTCTCACTCCATAATAGTCGATAACCAAACAATGTCGAAAAGAAGGCAATTCAAATATGATTTGTTGAAGTTTTGCTTTGCAAACGGCAATAAAATGACAAACATGCAGTCGAATAATAAATACGCGGGCCAAAATAGATTCCGGTTTCTCACGGGTGCTAAGAGGTCAAAGTTCGAGCTCGGCTTATCGTATTTTCTTCTGTATAATACGACTTGACTATAGTACGACCCTGTGTCTCTGAAGTTAAAAACAGTGAATTAATGATATCCTTGTTAATAATACGAAGTAGCCCCCAGTACAGCAGTCAAGCCGTAGGGGACTATCGTCGTAGAGGACTATCGTCCTAGGGGTCTATCGTCGTAGAGGACTATCGTCGTAGGGGTCTATCGTCGTAGAGGACTATCGTCGTAGGGGACGGAGGCATTTCCCGCTGAGGGTAGGTCATTGCCCCAGGCAGAACCTCTCTTTCGAGAGAGGGATGGAGCCATTACCCGGCCCCTGAAGCATCCCCAAGGGGGGAAGTACCGAGGAGGCTGGAGCAATTTTTCCACAGAATTGCCGTTAAATCCAATCTACACTGACCTTGTGGCATATTCGGTAGTGATGTGGGCTCCAACTCGTCGTACAGCCATCAAGTCCGAGTGGGTCATCTCTCCAGGTAGTACCTCTCTTTCAGGAAAGGGATGGGATCATTACCCGTCGCTTAAGGCGACCCCAAATGGGGAAGTGCCGAAAAGGCAAATATTTCCACGGTATTGCTGATAAACCCATTTTATGTTGTTCATGATGACAGTCGTCTTTGAGTATAGAATCCAGAGATAGTCTCACCTGCAATTTTTAAGGCATTTGTGAATTCTCAGCTCGTATAATATAATCTGTTACAGATTCATTTTCTCGTCTCCTTAACGCGGTTAGTTCAGTATATAAAGCAATAATTTTAGGCTTACCTTTGGACAAGTAGTGTTCACGCAATATCTGTAGGGATTGGCGTCCATTGTATTCGGCTTCCCGCATTATTAAAGACAAACTTCTATCATCCAAGCATTGTATTAATTCAGCGAACACGGTTGCATTTTTTCCATAAAATCATCATCCCCATTCTGGTCCTCTTCGCAAAGGATGACGTCATGGAGTTTTTGTATTCTGAGGTAGCCTAAGAATTTCGTTTCCCACAATTCATATCTCGATTCATTCCCGTCAAAATATAGTCGTAGTCTGCGCTCATAACCAATGTTGTTCATGATGACGGTCGTCTTCGAGTATAGAATCCAGAGGTTAGCAGTGAATATTTCGAAGACAGTAGGAAAGCGTTGTTCAGGTTAGCAGTGGATATTTTGGTAAAAGTAGCAGAGCATAGTTCGTCCTTCTGTTTCTCTTCGCCTGACAAGCTGGCACTGGACATTCGGATAGAGTAAACAAAATGGCCGCCTTTATACACGACGGATTGAATATTCTACGTCTTCTGATTGGTTAACCTTCTGTTGGTGGACTATAAAGTGAGTCAAGTCATTTGGGCTAGCTCACTAGTACACATATACACAAAAAAAAACTGCAACATTTCAAACTGACTTTGTATCACATTCAGTAGCGACGTGGTCACACTGAAAAATCCACTCGAAGTACGGCCATTCCTATATACCGTATTTTCAGGCTTGCAAGATGCTGTGGCTTCGAAGACGCAGCCTAACATAGGAAAGACATTTCTAAGTCATTCTCATACAACAGCACATTCACCCTGTATCCCTCACAAACTGGCGTCAAGTATTGCTTACATTAATCACTCGTCAGATTTCATTTGTATGGCAATGACATACTCATCAAAAGCTGCTAGTAAACAGAGCATGTTTAAGATTGTGGCTCGGCTCCAGGAAGGTTTATAGTCTTGGAAATATTTGCTACAGCTAAGTACTGAGGTTACATCATATAAAAGGCTGAATTATATAGCTAACATTATAGTGTAATGACTCAACGTACAAATTCACGTCCCTATCAGTCAAGCTAATTAGGTGACTGTTCAAGCTTACTTGAAACTGGGCGTTGCTTTACATTCGTCTTGGAAGACGCACACGTATTTTTCAGGGTATTTTTAGGAAAAAAGGTGCGTCTTGTAAGCCGGAAAATGCGGTAATTTCTTTTATTTATGAATAATCTCAATGTCAAACATATACTTCAGTAAAATATTTCATTTTTCACGTTATTAAAGAATATAAATATATTCGAGATACCAACGAGGACAGGCTATCAGAACAATTACCATAATATATATATATATATATATATATAAAACAGACAAGGAAGCTACGTTACGGCGGTAGGAAAATGACTGAAGCCGAGATGCTAGCTCAGGACCAATAACATTGTAGATTCTTCATTGGATTATATCAAGAATCTCTAAATACGTTATAGAAGCATCAGACCTGATGTGATATCAATATTCCATGCATGAACGAATGGTAAAATTATCAATGTGTTAGATTTCTGACGAGAAAAATTGTCTACCACGACACAGTGAATCAAATTTTCTAGTAGCAGACCTAGCAATTGATTCAATATAATCTTTCCATTTTATGCCAGCCGAAAACCTTAGCCCGAGAAAGCGCAATAATTAATTATCTTCGTGGTTAGCATCAGCCATACTGATGAAAGGCAAAAACAGTTCCTAATGATCATTAAAAGAGAGTTGTTTCGTTTGTGATCCGTGAAAATTAATAAGCCATTTCTTGCCCTAGTTAATAACTATCAATTTTTGGGTATGGAGTATTGCTGCCATATATAGTCTGGAGCCCCTTCTGTTTGCCTCGGGGTTCTTGATAAGAGCCAGAGACGGATATGCAATATAATTGGCCCTACTCTGGCATCTCGTCTACAGTCACTTTCTCACAGACGCACCGTCGCCTCTCTCTGTCTGTTTTACAAATACTTTCATGGAAATTGCTCCGAGGAGCTGCATTCGCTGGTTCCCAGACTTCATGAGTTCAAGCGCCTTACGAGGCTGGCATTCCGCTCTCACCCTTTCACTGTCGAAACTCCTAAATGTAGCCGTCTCTTCTACTCCAATAGCTTCATGTCTCGCACCTCTCGCCTGTGGAACTCTCTCCCTATTCCTGTTTCCCTGAGAGCTATAATCTCCAGCTATTCAAATGTAATATCAATCGACATCTCCAGTTGCCTTGATCGATCCACTATCCTTCTCCTCATCCTTTCCTCTATCACTCCTATCTGATCTTGCTCCAAATTTTCTGTAACCCCTTGCGTCCTAGTGGCTTCTCGCCTTGCTTGGGCTGAAACGCTTAAAAAATAAATCCGCTTTTAATGTAATAACAGTAGCAAATTGGTTTTCTAATTCATGTCCAGTTGGAATATTATGATTAAAAGATATTTACAGTATCGTTTCGGCCGTTGTACGTTGCGCTGGTTGGAATTTCGAACTGAACCCTTTATTTCGATCACTGGGGTAGACTGTTTTAGTTCCACGTGTCATGTTTGATGGATATCAGTTATCTCCTCTGAATGTTCTCCACTGCCTTAACCAGGTATTGAACTCACCTTTTTTGGGTCTGTCACTGGATCTAACCAACGCCTTTATCCACTGTGCCATGTGTCCTTGAGGACATCTGAGTATGAACTTCTGAGTATTATAAACCTAATAATTTCAGCATCATTTTTACTAGTGCTCATATTTCAATTTTGCTGTTATCATTGCATGTCTTTACCAGAGTTCATATTGCAACTTTGTTATCATTGCTTTTCTCTGGCACTCCTTATTACTGGTTCCCACATTGTATTTATTTCTATGCTTGGACAGACTCTAAAAGATATTTACATGTAATTCTTTAAACATATTTTCTGTTTAGTTTTATTATAACAGACATTTTTCCTTTCCTGCCCGTGTGCTAATATTTTAGAACATTCCGCCATTGTCATGACACGATGATAATTGTAATGGCCGAACAGCTAATGCGACGCAAGTTATACTTTTCTTCATTTTCTGGTCACAGGGTTTCGATCAAAGTGTAGTATCTGTTCTCATCTCTAATTGTAATCGTAATATTAGCTATTTTCTTATATCGGCTTTGTGCTATATCCTGTCACCGTGGACGGAGGAGTAAATACCAAGTGTAGTATCTGTTCTCTTCATTGTAATCTTAGCAGTTTCCTTATAAGGAAACATTCAGCATTTGTTAATCGAACAACCAGTGTCACTTCCGGTTGAAATTTATAAAATCTCTCCCTTAAAATAATTTTTCAGGAAATTAGGTTTCTCAAGCCCAGTGTCAATGCTCTTTCCAGTACTGACGGGTTGGGTGTTCCTTCCTAACCTTATGTTCGAAGTAGTGTGGAATGTCAACATCTTGATTTTTATTTACATTATTTATATCGTTCGGACTGTTCTCCTCATCTTTATTATCGTATTCACAACATTTCGGCCATCTTCAGATGATTGGAATTTCGAACTGAACCGTGGTAGATTGTTCTAGTTCCACATGCCATACCTCTTCTGGATGCCTCAGTTATCTCCCTTTAACTCAGCTCTCCAAGTGTTTGTTCACCACTGCAGTAGCCAGGGATTGAACACACAACTCTTTGGAACATGAGGGCAACAATAATTACACTACCTCATCACAGAAATATAGGCAGATATCTTGATTATGTCATTATTTTTTTTTATTTGTGTTACATGTGCTATCCATTTTAGTTGTTGCTGTTGTTGAAAGTCCTCAAGTGATATGGTTTCTGTTATTTGGTATAGTTCTTTGTGATTCTGTAGCGCTATTCCACTAGGTTCAAAGATTAATGGTCCCCGCTAAGTTCTACAGGCTTCGTTCATTCAAAGCTATTTTAAATCATTGATCTGAAAAAGGTATAATAGTATCTGTTCCCCTCAGTATAGATATTACTGTACGAGTCTGGCACCATTCATGCCACAGTCTCGAACAGGCGAGCCTATTTAAGAACATGTCTCAAGTTTTTAGGTTGCTGTAACCTAGCGAAGCCTTTTCAAGGGAGATAGCTGTAATAGAACAAGATGTTGCAAACAAAGCATGCAAATACGAATACACATATCATATTACATATAAAGAAACTACAATAGCACTTATAATAAAAACTCGGAGTCGTAATAATACTTAAGAAACCTTTATTGAGCTACACGCTTATTTATAGTATCTGAGTTCTTCTTTCAAGGGAGACAATCGTTATCAAGAGAGGTAACTCCAGTTGGTCTATAGCACATTCTCCCCCGCTTTATTTCTAATCGTAGGGGATTAATTTGCTCCGCGGAACAGGAGTTCTACAGTTGGGGTTGTAGCGTCTAGGTGTGTTTTGGGTAGACTCGGCCTTAGGGTCTTTCGTCCGAATCAGGAGACGTATTATGTTGGTTTTTGCCTGCTTCGTCCAGAATTGGTATACATCCGTCTTCATCTGTGTGCTGGTTTCTCTGACTTTGAAGACAATGAGTCTGAATCGGTGTGTGGCTGGGCGCGTTTCTGAGCCAAAGATTGCGTGTCCTCATTTAGGTCACATTGGCCCTCACGGTCTGATCTCCCAGTAGGGACTCTGTATCCGAAGTCTCCAGTGAGTCCGTATCCGAATCACACGGCTCAATGCCGACATGTTGGTCTTCGAGTGGCGCAGTAGATGATGCAGGCCCCTCTTCGGGAGTTATACTGGGTTCCTGTACCAATTCTCTGAGAGAGACAGCAGATTCCTTTCCATTTGAGTGTCGGCCTAGCATATAATGGGGATTCAAGGTCAATAAATTGTAACCCAGAGGCGTTATAAGACTTAAGAAAGGTTTGAATGGGGAGGTACGGCTAGATCGCTTACTTGTAGTATCTAAGTGAGGGGGAGTTCTTCTTTCAAGAGAGACAATCGTCATCAAGAGAATTAACTCCTGTTGTTCTATACCACAGTACTCGTTATATTATTTGATATGTTTTTACATAACAAATTTGGGAAACCCAGTGAGAATCGACTTCATTACATTTTTTTAATGGTTGACTTGACTAACCCTCAAATTACAATATGGACGATTTAGTTACGTATTTTTTTTTTAAATGTTTTTATTTTAATCATAGAAATCATCATGTCAAGAAAATGTTAAAACTTCTATAGCAGTATCTTTATTAGAAAAGCCGATCAGCTATTGTGCATTCAGACAGTCTCCACCTCTTCACCATCGTTGTCAATTTATTGTTGGAACGGGTAATTCAGAAAGTGTTAACACTTTCATTGGAATAAAAAGTGTTACCATTGTTATTAATCACACTGTATTTTTTTTTTTTATTCTCAGCGTTAATGAATCGAATTAAGATGAAGTTCATCATCTATATTCTCTATTTTGTTATTTCATTCGTTTTTTTTTTCTTTCTTTTTTTTTGCTTCTCCCTTTCCTTCTTGCTCTTGCCTTATCATTCACTTCTTCTCCTTCTTCTTCTGGCCCTTATCGTATCATGTTATTTATCTTTTATTTTAGATGCCCTTCTTTTTACCCTTACCTTATCTTCTTCTTCTTCTTCTTCTTCTTCTTCTTCTGGCCCTTATCGTATCATGTTATTTATCTTTTATTTTAGATGCCCTTCTTTTTACCCTTACCTTATCTTCTTCTTCTTCTTCTTCTTCTTCTTCTTCTGGCCCTTATCGTATCATGTTATTTATCTTTTATTTCAGATGCCCTTCTTTTTACCCTTACCTTATCTTCTTCTTCTTCTTCTTCTTCTTCTTCTGGCCCTTATCGTATCATGTTATTTATCTTTTATTTTAGATGCCCTTCTTTTTACCCTTACCTTATCTTCTTCTTCTTCTTCTTCTTCTTCTTCTGGCCCTTATCGTATCATGTTATTTATCTTTTATTTCAGATGCCCTTCTTTTTACCCTTACCTTATCTTCTTCTTCTTCTTCTTCTTCTTCTTCTTCTTCTTTTGTGATTTTATTTTTACTCTCATCTTTTCTCTTTCTTCTTCTTTTCAGCTCTTCTTTTTACTCTTACCTTATCATCTTCTCTTTTCCGCTATTTCTTTTCCTTCTTACCCTTACCTTATGTTGTTGTTGCTGTTGTTGTTGTTGTGGTTGTTGTTCTTCTTCTTCTTCTTCTTCTTCTTCTTCTTCTTCTTCCACGACTACGACTACTACTACTACTCCAACACTTCTTTTCTGCCTTTCTTTTTATCTTTATCGAATCTTCTTTTCGGCCCTTCTTTTTACTCATAACTTTTCTTGTTCTTGTTCTTGTTCTTGTTGTTCTTGTTGTTCTTGTTGTTGTTGTTGTTCTTCTTCTTCTTCTTCTTCTTCTTCGTCTGATCCTTACCTTATCTCCTCCTTCTTTTTGGCCCTTCTTTTTACCCATTTCTTCTTCTTCTTCTTCTTGCTTTTCTATTCACAGCTGCACAACATTTCCCGCCATGACGTAAACTAGAAGTTGTATCCTCCCTGAACGTGTCAGGTTGTCTTATTGTCGTCAGATTTTTCTTTCATACCTACATTAGATATTTTCCTCTTTACCACTTTTGTATTCTTTACCTGCTCAACGAATCCACCCAGCTCATTCACCCGGTATTCTAGTCGTGGACCGCCCAGCGAAGCAAGAGGCCTCCTATAAGTCTATTAAAGGTGCGAGGCGTGGGTGTACAATAGGGTTGCTATGGCAACAGGCTTGGTTTGTTTTGACTACAGATCTTTCGCACTATATATTGTAAAGCGCTTCTTAAAAACGAAGAGAATTCTCCTCGAATAAATAATTATAACATTTTTATATTTCCCAGCTAATCGCAATAAAACAGCTAAATTTTTTTCACATTATTAGAAAGAATGTCATCAAACGCAACTATTTTTACTTTATGCAATGTTGAATTATTCATGACATTCCATTGATGCGGCAATATTATAGACGCCATATTGGTTTGCTTGTTCTTATCGGTCAACAGATAAAACACACTTTCGTTACGTAGAAAATTCCCTCTACAGTTTGAAATGTTACTTTTGGCACCGAATGCATAACTTGTCTTCCATTGTTTAGAGATGGTACTCACGAAAATACGGTAAAAGTTATGCTATTGCTGAATGAGGGAATTGTCAGAGCAGATCAATATCTCATGGAATTGATGATAGACGATCGAATGTTTCCAAATAATTCCCCACGAAGTCGGCTGGTTTTAGAGTTTTGTTTTTGAGATAACGTACAAACTGAGTTAAAATTATATATATATATATATATATATATATATATATATATATATATATAGAATAAACATGAAAACAATAAACAAAAAATAAAAATTATTGAAGCTATATACATAAAACAGTTGAAACCTAACCTAAACAAGATATACTATGGAATCTCCACAAATATACTTAAATGCCTATAATTGATAACAGAAGCCATTGGTTTTTACCAACGGCTTCCCATACTTAATACTTCTAGTTTTCACTCTCGCGTGGCCATGTGTGACGTTATGAGCTGCGGTGCGATTTTCGCTTCCAGCGTCTCGTATGCGCGAATCTGCTTTTGCTTGAAAATCTTCCATGTAAACAAAAACATACCATCATTATTGTTTTGTCCATGTATTGTTTAATATATTGTAATGTAATTGTCATCTTTGATAATGGCTTATGTAAGCCGAATGCTTAGATAGGAATAAAAAATATGTATCAATATTGTGATTTTCTTTCTTCGTTTAATGATAATGTTATTAAGCTTATCAGACGTTAGGAAAATAATTTACATAAAATAAATAGACAAAACTTTTTTTATATTATTTAATGAAACATGCATCAATATACATATGCGTGTGTGTGTGTATACATTGAAGTCAGCAACCAGCGGACACAGTCTGTTTAATTTTAAACGCAGTCGTCAGATATATTTAGGTACCCTCTATCCCTAATTGAGCACTTTAACCCATAAATATAGCATACCTTAAAACTATATTTTATCATATTATTAAGTGATTAACTAACGAACAGCAGAATTATAATATATATATATATATATATATATATATATATATATATATATATATATATATATATATATATATAATTATTTATTTAAAAATATGATTTAAATAAATAATTATATTTATGCTCTACTTTTGTATCGAGCACTATTTTTTAAAATAATAACTAAAATACTAAGGGACTTTGGATTATTTACCTAACCAGTTCCTTCCTATTTTCTATATATTTTCACACACACAGATACAGACACACACACACACACACACACACACACACACACACACACACACATATATATATATATATATATATATATATATATATATCATTACACACAAAGTAGCAATAAAGTCACTATACAGTTACTTATAATAAAAACAAAAAACATTGAATCAGGTGGTTTGCAGTTCAAAACAGTATCGGTAAGTATGTGTATAGTGACTGTATTACCACACTGTTTATATATATATATATATATATATATATATTTTGCGTTTCACCACAAGCAAGGCGGGAAGCCACTAGGACGGAAGGGGTTACAGAAGATTTCGAGCAAGATCAGATAGGAGTGATAGAGGAAAGGATGAGGAGAAGGATAGTTGATAGATCAAGGCAACTGGAGATGTCGATTGACATTACATTTGATTAGTTGGAGATTATATATATATATATATATATATATATATATATATATATATATATATAAATGTAAAAGAACGAAGAGTAAGATTTCAGCGTTCAAAACATTAATTTAAAACAGGGATCAATACAAAAGTTAAGCAATGAATATTTATTTATTATGCAATGTTACATTAGAACATGTTCATACCCACTACAAAAATCTACATCTTGTTTCACCGTTAAAAATTTTTTAACGTTGAAACGATGTACACTTTGTAGTGGGTATGTACATGTTCTAATATAGCACTGCATAATATATATATATATATATATATATATATATATATATATATATATATATATATATCATATTATTGTAATTCTGATGTTCCTTAGATAATGACTTAGCACGTATGTTACGCCATACCATTACCTCAGATAAATAATGAGCCATTCCTTTTGATTGCCAGCGGAGACGATAAAAAAAACATATGTCAAAGGCCTGGAGTGGTCTTAGGGAAAGAAAAAAGAAAATCTGAGGCAATGACACTCTCATGATTTTAACGTCTGCTTCAATGAAATGGAGAAGTTGGAAAAAAGTTGGAAAATGATCCTGGAATATATATATATATATATATATATATATATATATATATTTAAACTTTATTTCAATCCTTGATGAGCTTCCTATCTTTAACTTTGATTAATTAATGATGGACATGTCATTTTCGTTTATGATCGATTTCCTTACGATTCTTCTGTTAAGCTGGGGGAGTAATTATATATATATTCTTATGGCTCAATGTTGAATTTGTTTTATTTGTACCCTCTTACTTCTTCTGAGTTCATATTTATGATTGTTATTACGATATTTTGTTAAATTTGTTAAGCTCAAATATTGAACGATGTAATAGGAGAATTTATGCTATAGGGTATTTTGTAGTCGTGGAACTAGCAAAGAACTTATTCAATCATTAACTTAAGAATTAAGGTTCATCAGAAAATTCATTATCGGGAAATTTTCAAGTTTTCTTCAGGCATGTTTTGTGTTTGTATATGCGTTTAGTGTAGCGAATGTCGGCGCGGGAAATGGAATCTTAGAATCGAATTCAAATGTATTCGCTTTTGCACAAAGGTCTTTGGGAAAGGCAGGAAGTCATCTCTTCTTTCCCCTAGCTATAGGTTAAATGACTCGGTAGATTGGATGGTAATTAGTCTTAGAGAAAGACTGAATCAAAGATAGATAGATAGATAGATAGATAGATAGATAGATAGATAGATAGATATGAAAGGACACATAGA